CGAAACAGCTAGACCTACCTTTGCCAAAAACTGATCAGCACGTCTCCTTCACAAGAGGAATCAAATATTTATGAATCATTAAAATTGGTTGATTCGTATTATCGAAATCGTCGACGAAAAATTGTATCCGCACACACACACACCCATACGCATACGCACACACAATACATACACATACATCTATTTTAAGGTATACCAAAACGTTGAGAAACCTCTGAAATGTAAAGATATATGAACATATTCGTTATTCCGCCATTACTATAACTTACCCTATGGGAAGTTAAAAAAAAACATTATAGCAGCGTTTTTAGGAATCAATTTTATTAAGTACTTCTGCTTCATTTTACAATAATTTATCATTACTCGTTCTACGATAATCGTTGAATCTAGTTCAAGACCATCCATTATTCCTTCGACTAAGATGTATAATTCTCAAGCGATTAGCATGTGCCGAGAAGTGGCATTAAGAAAATCTACAATTCTACATTGAACACATAAGTATGCTTGTGCTCTGCGATAACGGTATCGATGCAATAATAACCGATTGTGCACAAGCAATTGGAATAACGTTAAAGTCGAAGAAAAAATGCATCAAGCTCGAAAATTGCATTACATGCTCGGTCAACCGCGGATAATGTTGCAGTACATTTTCTTTGAGAATAACAACCCGTCCGCTTTTTAAGCACAACGACTTTGTATTGTTGGGCACATTAAATTAATATCAAAATCATACAATTCTTTAGTTGTGGGCACATAAAAGTTTCTAAAGGTTATATATTGCGACCAGGTATTTTATTACTTCTGACATCAACTACAAGAAGGAAGAATTGCTTCTAGAAATTTCTTTTATATGATCTAGTGGCAAGAGCTTCGGTTTTGGCTTTGCAACTACAAAGGCTGATTCTGATTCAATGACTTCCTTGGACAGTTTGATATCAAGCAGTAGTGATATCATCGACCTTCTCGAATAGTTTGATATCAAGCAGTCAGTATTCAAGTAAGAAAATTAGAAAAATCCAAACCCAATCTTATACAATTTAAATGTGACTAATAATGAAGATACGGATATTAAATCCATTAATATAAGAATGTCTGTACTAGGTAGACCGAAATATTCGAATAATAATCATTAGTCATTATTATATTGCAAAGCTAGAACTTTGACAAACAAAAAATTGAGCGACATGAAGGACTTGCTAAAATTCATTGCCCCCGTAAATCATGAATTCTGCAAAAATTTGACAGAAGTTCTAATCATCACAAACATGATGTTTGTGTGGAGTTATATATTTGCGTTAAAGCTTTAAATGTTATGATGTTTCAAACAGCATAACATTTATTTTTATGAAAGAGCTTTAACGCTAATATATAAGAATTAGGTTTAATACTTTTTTCAGTTGACAACTTGATTAACTCCACAAGTCGTATCAAAACTTTAGCTTTAATGATAATTTATTTACTCACAATAAGTAGTTATTAATCTTATATACCGTTACATGTAAACTATATATTTTTCAATTTATATTATAACGGGAATTTTTATAAATTGCATTTTCACTGTATGCACTAAACGGCTCATTTGGGCTTTTATATTGTACGAATATTTGTAAAATTTAAGAGCTTCCAACTACAAGTTAGATTCAATTTAAAGGGATATATCATTACTAATAGAAAAAAGAACAAATAAAGTAGTTGAAAAGTGTATCGCAACAGCTCAAAGTACTCTTAAGTTCTGATTGCTGCTGAAAAAAACGCAGTATTATTATATACTATATCTACAATTTAAATTTGAATTATGTTTAATCAAATTTCATTTAGCCAAACTCAGTCAAATGATATCTGTTAAAAATATAGACGAAAACTAAATGGTTAACTATAAATTTTCGAGCTGTACTCTCTAAGAAATCTTTCAATGTAAGTTTCATTGAGATTGCATTAGAAATACCTGCAACTGGTTATTAGCCCAATAATCATTAGCTTAATTATGAATTAATTCAGTTGCTAAAACCTCATAGATTTTTATGTCAAAACCATAAATTTAAAATTTTATATTAAAAAAGTGCAATTAAATATAATTAACAAAACGGTGAAAGTTAAGATAAACCAGGTACAAAGACGATATTATTCTACCTTAAAAGGAAATATACTTAGTAATGACGATTCGGGAAATAATTAAAAAAATCTATGTTAAAACGCAATCAAGAATTTTCTTTACAGCAGTTAACTTTCTTTCCTGCATTTAAAAACATTGTTGATTAAATAATGAAAAAATATTTGAGTTTATGTATTATCTATAATGTAAATATATTATCTATATTGAAATAGAATATATTGGCTATATATGTTATATTAACATTCCAAAGGGTAAGTTTGTTTTTATCAATACCTACAATTTGCTAATTTTATGTTTTCTCAAGGTTTCAAGCCATTCTGAATCGAATGAGACCAAATTTGGAAAAAGTTTGTGTGTGTGTGAACGGATTTTTTACAATTCTTCGACGTTTTCAAAAATTTAAAATCCGTGAATTTAAAAAATATTATTATCAAAATTTATGCCAAAAGTTGCTTTTGTGATGTGATAAGTCACACATTGTCGATTTATTTATTGAAATTTGGAATAATCACCTACAATTTTAGAATTCTTACAATGTAATTAATGTAATCACAGAAAATATAAGTGTATTTAAGAAAATTGGAAATCGCAATGTTTAGATTTAATTGAAAGCAAAATCTTTATTTTTGAAATAAACAGTTGACAATTTTTTCTAAATATCTAAATCTGAATTTTGGTTGATTAAGTCAATTATAACATATCTCGGTAAGTTCATGCAGCTTGCCTTAAGGCTAAATGCCACTTTCAACAATTTTTGTATTTTGATGATGACCAAGAATTTGTTCCAAAACTTTATTTGGTGAATTTTCTCTACAATATTTGCTACTGATAAATCAATGATCAAACAACATATACTTTCAGCTATTATTTTCACAAAATTTTCTTTTTCTCATATTGGGTGATATTATTGGAAATACATGCTTATAATATATCTCATATGAAATGTTATTAGTATATTTTGGTGTGCAAATACTGTGTAATGTTTGTTGTAAATTACTGTACCAAAACCCAACTGATCACGTTTGTCGCGATAAAATATTTTACGACCCACACATGCTGATATGCTTTTTAGGTAAGAGAAGCCAATTTGAAATCATGTTTAAATTATCAATCATATCACCATTTAGATGATCAAGTATGTAGTTTTATTGTGGCTTAGTAGTTAGAGCTTTGGCCTTCCAACCAGATGATTTTCGAATAGATACTCACCAGTCTCAACACCAACAGCCTGATGATAAGCTGTACTGATATCGATTTTTACTTGAAAATATGATGGAAAATAGCCTTGAACATAGCGTTTTTTGGCATTGCTGAATCAAAATACGATTCGTCAGTACTAGATAAATTTTAATAATAAAATTTATTAAAATAGAGAGTTTTGTGGTCATATTTCACAATTTGGTTCTTAACTCTCTCTCCACGTTTTGACTTAATAGATTTGTAATGGATAGCTCATGATCAAATTGGATTTTTCAATGAACATAATATATTAAAATTGCAATGTGGAATATTATAAATAAATTCTTTAAGGATTAATCATCTGTTTGATTTTTAGATAATCACCTAAGTATGTATTTATAACTGCGTCCTCAAACAGTGAAAATATTTGTTTCTCACATGTAGGAATTTCATTTATACTATTATAATGCAAACGATATAAGCTGAGGAACTTTTTGTTTAATTAATTTTTTTTACACCCTCAACTTATTGATTTTGTGAACAGAATGTCTTTGTAACTAATTTTAAATAGTAGTTGAGAAGCCTTATAAACAACAACAATATTTTTGCATAGTATTAAATTAGTAGAAAACAAAATTACGACATCTACTTATCCGTAGAACGACTAAGTGTAGAATAGATGCATGTAATTTTCCATTTACTTTATACCGAAACACAATGAGATGTAAATTACTATTTAAAATAACGTACAAGAACAATATTGAAAAAGAAAACATATTAACTTGTATGGGAACTCTTGGGTGATTCATGTAGTTACAATAAAATAGAACCTTACATAAAATTCCCAATTATAAATTTAATTAATCCATGAATATAGAAAACATCAGATAATTATCATTTCGTTTATAAATAATAGGTATATGTAATACTAGTGTAATTTAATAAAAAATGCAAAATATAATGATTTTAGTGGATTCTAAATGAAACGAGTATTCTTGAATTAAAAAACTGTAAACAGATCTAGAAACTCCTAAAGTAACATAATATAGATAAAAAGTAAGAAATAGAGTGAGCTTTCAAGTATAAATAATGATATTATCAGATCAAATCGTTAGTAATCTTCATTTAAAAGCAACGACGACATTCGACATATATTCACTAGGTTTATAAAAACAATAATCCGAATTAAGTACCAAAAGTCCCATTTGATCAAAAAGTTAAATCACAAACAAGAAAAATGTGAATCCAATGAATATAAACTAGTGGTGTATGACATTGTGCTTGAAGGCAAATTGCTGCCATTTTTTGCACATTTAGCTATATATCTCCGAAACCACTGGGTTTGCCTTTGCCCAAATCTAATCACCACTTTTTCTCATCATTACGAATCAGATATTTTTAGAACAATCAGATATTTTTAGCAGAAAATAATACATAAATGAAAGAAAATAATTTCTGAAACAATTTCTAGTTGGAACCAACTTTTCTTACTCAAGTGTCAAACTTGTTTTTTAGTCTATTGAAGACCAAAGAGTCTCAAAACTTATTGAAAACAATTTATATACAAATGATACGTAGTGAATTTTGAATACATATTTGAATTTGAGATATGCTTCCAAGAAAATATGATATGACTTCTGAATATGAAACAATTTAAAAACACATAAATTGTAATGCTATTTCTAATAATTATATCTTTTTTTTCACGGGAAACGATAGAGAACGCATAGTTTTGACCAGCGAGGAAGCAGGATCAGGAGTGATCGACAGAAAAGTGAGGCTGGTGGATGGACCATCGCCGACAACTGGCAGCTACAAATTCTGCATCTCGGAAACTGGAGATCTGTATGTAGCAATTCAAGAAAGTGAGTTTTAATATTTATGTAATTTTTTTACCATTTTATTTCATGGGACATATATTTGCAATTAGTCTTCACATGCAGGTCGTGTAAAACCAGACAAATGCATAGATATAATAGATACATATATAAATACTTTACTTTACTTTTTATCTCTAGACTTAATTCAAACTAAACTAACTAAATATTTTGGACATATCAACTGAAGTCTAAACTTCCATAGTTCTTCAAATTATTATTACTTTAGATTTCACTTTATTTCAAAAATGAGAAGTTTTAGTTCATTAATCTCTAATATTTAAATATGATTACACAAAGTATTTTTATGATATTTGAAGCGGTGCTATGTCTTGCAAATAATATTAAAATAAACAATAATTGCATTGTTTTTGCAATTAATATAATTAAAATATATGCTTATATAATTTATACATACTAATACATCGTTCTAATTTGTTCATTTTTAGTACTTGCTGTTCTCTTTCTCTCTCTATTCTCTTCTCAATTTCGATAATCTTTGTGTTGCATTATTTGTGAATTAATAATAAATAAATTATAAGTAAGCCAATTAACGCCACAGATTTAATATTTTAAAGTAAATTTAATTATATTTAATGTATAATTTTGCATAATATTATTCAGTTTACAAATTTCGAATTTAGTTTTATATTTCCAACGTTTTACACAACTGCAAACATTAAATGCTTTTTATCTTTAGCTGCAGAAAATATTTTTGCTATAATAACAGTTTTTATAAATATTTGCTATAAAAATTCACAATTATAAAGCACATCAATAAATACTTAGTTTGTTTTTAAAATAAATTATTTATTTCACCAAACTTGAACATCTACCTACCTTGATCATATAAATGGTGGACTTATCGTATATTGAATTTCTTTCTAGTAAATTAAAAGTCTCTAGTAAAATTTTTAACTATTTCCTTATCTATGGTTTCAACTATGGCAATAAAAAATCACCAAAATCATAACTACTTTATTTTTAAAATAATCACTAAAGAAATAGGTATATCATACAATCAAGCATCTTTAAAATCTAATTGCAAAAGCGTTTACAATAATAATTGAGAATTTAAATATAATCACATTTGATATAAATCAATGTTTATTATATGTGATTACAGTAAATATTTCAACTTTTATCAATTTTATTGTGTTACCTTTTATTAATTTTATTAGTTATAACTTTACCTTTTTCTCAAATTTGAATTATGATTGTATGATACGAAAAATTGGAATTATTTTTTAATATATTCGTGTTAACATTCCAATAATCTTCGATATTGAGAATATTCAAGAAAACTTATACAAAATATTGATACCGTTTAGACACCATTATTGCCGATTATTGACCTTTTGTCGATGTTTTTTCTCAAAACGGCTGGATTGATTTCAAAATTTAAACCATTCGATGTATTGCGCGATCGGCCAAGCCGTTTCTCTGTAATTATTAAAAAAGTGTAAAGTTCATTCAGTGTAAACTTTATTCATTTAAAAAAAAATTCATCAGTTTTGAATTTTTACCAGAATTTATTCTGAAACATATGCACGTTATGAGGTGTTTTGTTGGTAGCTACTGATTACAGTTTACGTCGACACTTCAATAAAATACATTTTTGGAATAGATGAAATCGTGTTAAACAAATTAATTGCAAATATTAAAAGTATATTTGAACCACATTAGCTGGGAATTGTATCGATTCATTTTTAGTGACAGCGAAAATTTTGTATTCGAAATAAACAGTTTTTATCTAATAAACTGAATCTCATTCTTATTGATTAATTAATCATAATAATACGTATTAGGATCATGCAACTTGCCTTACTGCAAAATCTTACTTTACCACTAGTTTAATTTCATAATTACTAACTATTTGGTATTTCCTAGTTGGACGCTGTCAGATTTCGGTACGGTATGCCGCGAGCTCGGTTACCGCGGCGGTCGCTTTTACCGCTGGATGGAGGGTGAACGCCGTGGTACAGGCCACGACCGTCGACCGGCGCGGCTGCTGCTCGAAACCCCTTCCTGCTCCGGCAGTGAAAACTCGTTGCAAGACTGCCGCAGATGGAGGGACAGGCAACTGGGCGCCGGTGTATGTGATTTTCATGGAGACGTCGGCGTGCAATGTGAACAGAGGCATGCATTGGACCAGGCGTCAAAGGTTAGAATTTTTTGTGAAAAATGCTGAAATTGTTACAGTATTTTGAATTTTACCGCAAAAATAATTGAATTAACATAGATAATTTTTCTTATTTGCGTTTCTTAAAATAATAATTATATATGAAATATGTGGCGAATTGGCTTATGTATTAATAGCATGAATGTATAGGGTGTTCCAGAACTCAACGCAAAGCCGAAACGGGGTGATAATGTCGACCTCAACCGACCTAAAATAAATGAATTCTACGTTGTTTGAAAATTATGAAATTTCAAGTGCAACATTGAGCTTTGGTACAATCACGCCATTTTTTTGATTATTGTTAATTTATATTAATTTAGCTCATTTGAGCTTGGGAAGCGAACCGGTATCATTTATAAGATCACAGTGAAATATAATAACACAATTATATTTTACAAAATACTAATATAATTGGCCCAAGTTTTCAAGAAGTAAGACTTTTGGTTGAATTGAAAATGTTTACGCAAAAGCTTCTATGTGATACAGGGAAACATTTGAACTGAATGTGAGCGAAATGCGTTACCTGTTGTCGTGTTTTTAGGTTTTTATTTTTTGACTCTAAATTTTTCAGTAATAAGGTTATCTAAAATTTTGCTATTTTAGAATCCTGATTATTTTTGATTACCTAATTGTAGCGCCAACTTTTGAAGAAATTGCCAACACACTAGTACATATTTTAAAAGAAGATTTCTCAAAGCCAACCGATTTCAGAAATTTGAAATTCATATTTCAACAAAAAGTGTTATTTCTAGAAAACTTGGGACAGTTGTATTATTATTTTTTACTGTGGCCCTGAAAATGTGATTCAAGATTACGGTTTCGGTACTTAATAGCATTTTAACGCATATCAAGTTACGGTTTAAATAAATTTTATATATCTGAATGTATTTGAATTATTTATTTCGATTATTTCACAGAACTAGAACTCTCAAGAAAAGCTCAATACAACTATAATACATAAAATTCCAAATAATTGTTAGTACTAAATTAAATTATATACAATGCGCAAATGAATATGAAAAATATTAGTTCATTCTTAAATATTATTATTGGTATTATTATTATTATTATTATTATTAAATATTATAGATTTTAGTTTAGTTTAGTTAGAAGACATTTGTAATATTGGTGAATTCAAGAGTACTAAATATAAGTATTTGAAATGCTTTTATTCAATTTACTTGTACAATTTTATTCAGAAATTCTTTTAATGATTAATTACAATAACAGACATTTACTTAAGAGTTTTCAATTATCTGCACAAATCTATGCAATGATTGCAAATCATTCTAATGCAGTGTTTATACCACAAATTAAACCGTTTTTAGTAATTTTAATGTTGAAAGATTTATAGTAATAATTAATTCTGCTGTTATTATTAGCACAATCCATTTTTTGCGGATCTGTGTCGCCATTTGTCTTGTGAAATATTTCTCTATAAGTAAGGTATTTTTTACAATTTATTTTGTTTAGTAGATAAATTATAATTTTTTTTTCTTGGTTTAGTAGTTTAGTAGTCGCCTATCGAGGTTTTACTATATTTAAAAAAAAAACTGAAAACTTTCGAAAAAAATTATTTGTATGCAAGTTTTGACTATTTAGTATATGTACTTATTTTTCAATACTCAATTTTATAATTATCTCTAGATTACGAACAATTGGCGAGGTTTACGATTTGAGTATGCCGATAGCGAACGTCGTCTTACCCAAGAAAACACTCTCTACATCAAATCATCTCGATCAGTCTTCTGAATTGTGGACATCCTGCACGTGGACGGGCAGAAGCAGCAACACTACTGCGGGCCTTAGTGTTCGGGGTCGCTCCAAAATATGCAAAATTTACGAATCACAAATTCGGCATTACCATGGAGCAGAAATATTGAATACTGATGCACCAGTGTTTTATCGAATTGTGAACGGAAGGGAATGCTGGTTATGGGATCGTTGTTAACTCAACTTATGGACAGGTAAGACAATGGCTGATGATAATGTTGACTAACAATTAATAGAATCACAAAAAATTAGTAGAATCAAAATTATGAATAATTTTCCATTATTCACATTAATGCAATGTAAGTCTCCAATTAGGATTGGAGACGATACCATACGCTTTTAACGAGCTAATTACTTTCATTTAGTATCCAGTAACTTTTTATAGTTTTTCTCACGATTAGTCCATTAAAGGGTAAGATATCTGGTTATCATATCATATTTAGTATAAAATAAAAAAATACAAAATTTACAAACACCATAAAAAAAGTTCTTGTGATGAAAGAGGTATAGGTAATGATAAACTATAAGTTAATATATTTTTTTTTCTATTTAAGGTGCTTCTAGAGAACTGTACTGTCGATGGAAATGGTGCAGATGGCATACGCCACATTGTTCATTACACTGATCCCCGAGAATCACGCAGAGATCGCACTGACGTCCACGAGTTCTGCACCTGCCCACCACTGTCAGTCAAACTTATCCTGTTCGAATATCTGTAGAACAGTCAAAATATTCCAATACTGAAAGAGACTGCGGAAAATACTTCACCACTCGCAATGGTTACGTACTGACACTTAATTTTGTGTTTTTCACAACTGATAAAAACGATACAGCCACTTTAGAAGTTTTTGATGGAACTTCAAGACATGACAAGCGATTGGCCACACTCCTCATAAGAAACAACACCAGAGCACAGAGTGTTACATCGACAAGAAATAAAATTTACGTGCGGTTTAAAGCTGAAACTAGAGTTGAATTGTTAGGTTTCCTACATCTAACAGCTGGTAAGCAAAAATCATATGACTTAAACATCACAAGAAGCAATATCGCTGATAATAATGGAAAAGGCATCACAGTAGAAAATCTTAGATCTATGGTGCATATACACCAGAGTTCTATATCCAACAATGGTTATATAGCTGGATTACACGTAAATCAAGGTGTTGGTGATGTTAATGTTACAGACAGTCGAATAAGTTTCAACAGAGGCGACGGTATAAATATAACTTACACTGGAGGTAACACAAATGTATCACGCAGTTCTTTGAGTTCAAATACACGTAGAGGTTTAGCAATTTGGATAAATGATACCACAGAAACTGAATATATGAATTTTAATCAAACTACTGTACTAGAATATAGTGAAGTTTTTAGAAACTTAGAGGAAGGTATTCTTCATGGTAATTTTTGCGGTCAAGGTTGGATTAATATAACCGGCAATTGGTTTAACGAAAGTATGGATACCGCAGTAGATTTAGGTACTTGTTGGCGAGATAACCAGCAAGGTAAGAAATTAAATCTACAAATTGGACACAATGTTTTTGAAAGAAATAGAAAAATTAGTATCAGAATATATCCTGCTCTGAACATAGAAGGGAAAATAGAATATAATCATATTAGACACGGCGAATATGGAGGAATATTAATAAAAAACCAGCCGTTAGAAGAATTTGAAGTTCTTCCTTCTAGAATTGTTTTACAAAATAATGAATTATATAATAATAAAGGTGTTTTTGTAGTTAATTTGGGTACTTCACCTTATAGCCTTGTGCAGTCAATATTATTTACAAGAAATTTTGTCACTGAAAATTCTATCAATGAACCTTTTATAAACGAAGACGGCGCAAGTTTCAGTTTGTTGCCTAGAAGTCGAGTTGCCGCGGCTGTAGTTGTATCATCTGAAACTGTTGATATCTATAGAAATATTATTGACAATCCAAATTCTAAATATGAGATTGGTTCTCATTTGGAAGATCAGAGTAAGACAATAAACTGTACCTTCAATTGGTTAGGTAAGCGTGATGAAGAACAACTATTTAATAGATTATTTCACAGAAAGGATAGATACAATCTTGCTAAAATTATTTACTTACCTTATCTGCTACATAATAGTAATCCAGGTGCGAATACCGTTGTGGCACATCCCACATTTGTCCCACAATTCAACGTACCGGGAACATATATAGTCGGTGGCGAGGTAGATGGTCAAGAAAATCTTAAACCCGGCGAATATTTTGTAGATAAAGATATTAATATAAGACCAGGCGGTAAGTTAACCTTGCAATCTGGTGTGACTTTGAAGTTTCCGCCATCAATTGGAATGATGGTTGCTGGAAGATTAGAAGCTAGAGGCAGAAATATAAATGCTATCATAATGACATTGAAGCAGCAAACAGTTATGGAACCTGAAGTGGAAAATATGGAAATGGATACAGAAAGATATGATACAGAAACTCAAATAATTGAAGTAGAATCCAAAATTCCTATTCGATTACTAGGTGGAATGACTAATAATGAAGGAAGATTACAAGTAAAAATTGATAATAAGTGGGGAACTGTTTGTAATTATGGATGGTCGATACGGAATGCGGCTTTAGTTTGTCATCAACTAGGTTTAGTTTTAAATCCCAATGATTGGAATCTTGAACGAAATCAAATTCCGAATGCTGGTACGAGTGAGCCAATTATCATGGCAAATGTACGTTGCACAGAGTTTGATACCGATATCACGAAATGTCGATCAGAAAAAGCAAATGATTTTGAGAATTCATGTACCCACGAACATGATGTTGGAGTACGTTGTTACCAAAGTAATTGGGCTGGATTAAGATTGGGAGTTCGCGCCGATTTGCAATTCATAACATTGAGAAAGCTGGATTGCTAGATTATGCAACAAATTCTTTTCAACCAGCGTTGCAGATAGATTTTGCTCGACATAGTTTGGAAAGCATCAGAGTCATAGATAATATTCAAGATGGATTAGGAATAATTTATTCAGACATATATAGTGCTGATGCAGTAAATACGGTTAGAAACTCGGAGTTTTTAAACAATCGAGGCAGCGGCATTCATTAGCGTGAAAACAACTTGGTTTAAAAGTTCAGGGAGCAGTTATCGAAAATAATTAGTAGCGGGCATAAAACATGACCCGGTAATATCTGGATTACAACAAAAAGAACTAGCTGGCTGGTTTAATATGGCTCCAGATTTTAATGTATTAGAATCTAATTATCATCCTATTACGATACCTGAATATGAACCTGCAACAATAGATTTAGAAACCGGTAAAACGATATATCTTCTGACATCTAAGCATGTACGCCAAGAAAATATTCACAAATTTTTCGACGTTAAATGCCAGCCAGGTTATGTTATTGGTATACAATTATTGAATCCTGTTTCTAATAGATCCAGTGAACGTATTTGGATACATGATTCTCAGAATGTTAATTCTCTAAATGAGAAATGGCTTTTGAATCGAGATTTATCTGTTTTTCCGGTTGCTAGTAGTAGTTTTGGCGTTGTACTAGAATATACAAGTGGAAATAATGCGTTAGGAGGTGTTGTGCTGGTTTTGAGCACTATTCCTGCACCAAGGCAAACCATAGTAAACAAAATTGTCAGAGGTCCTGTGCCAACATTAACTATTATGAATTCTCGTATTCGACGAAACGTAAAAGGAATGCAGTCGTGGTATTATAATCGATATCTTAATGAACTAGGTGATCATTACTTACGGAAAGCAAATGAAAGTATTAAGATTGTTAACTGTGAGATTGCACATAATTTAGAAGAAGCATTTGACATATATTCTCCTTTCTGGGATGTGCACGAGAGCAATATCTCCGAAGTATCAATCAGTATTAATAATTCTCTAATTACTGATAACGGAAGAGGTATTGTACAGTTTTCACGTGATATGAGAAATTCTAACAACTTATTCCATTACATACTCCAGGACAATTCAATCGAAAGAAATTCAGCCGGTGGCTTTGAAATAAGCCTTCCTTACGTTTGGAATTACAATGAAAATTTCACTCATTCAGTTTACGTAAATAATAACACATGGAGAGGTAATAAACAATTTAATTTCGTTATTGATGGTCATTATTCAGCAGTTAATTTGAGCAGAAATTCTTTCACTGATAACCTATGTAAAACAGGCTTGATTTCTATTCGAGGTATGGAAAAGCAAATGAAAATTGATGGAAACATCATACATCGTAACAATGGTAAATATATGGTTGAATTTAGAGCTGATAGTCAAAGTGAAATATTAGGAGAAGTAAAAGCGATTTTTGCTTATAATGAAATTAGATCTAACAGATTCGTAAAGTTTTCTAAAAGCGATCTGCATCAGCTATATCGTGACCCAACATGTGTGATTGGATTTAATGGTGTACAAAAAGTGCGAGTAAACCGAAATTTAATATCGGATAATGTTTTAGACTATGATCTATTAGCAGGTGTTAAAACAGCAAAAATTAATAATAATTTAGACGTTCGTGAAAATTGGTGGGGTTCTAATAATGCTAGTTTTATCAAAAAGCGTATATTTGATTTTGACGATTGGAACAATCATGCCGTTGCTCATTATCGTCCTTACCTAATTGAAGATAGTTTTGACGCTAGTGTTTCTGTCAGTTTTGATGAAGTATCACCCGTGGACCTTGATAACCTAGGAGGACGACTTTTGCAAAATTTGATATTATATCGACGGGAAGCACCGTATGTTCTTCAATCCGATTTGACTGTGATGCCAGATGTGACACTTACAATTAATGCTGGCGTAGAAATGGAATTCGCACCCAATGTTGGCATCTTGGTTTTAGGAACATTAGTTGCGCAAGGTTTCAGAGGCTCAGAAATAGTGATGAGACCAATGACGTTAAGTTCACATTTTGATAATCGAATTGGTCGCAGATCTATGCGCATTATTGAATTCGACGAAGAAGGAAAGCAGATATCTAAAGTAATAGAGAGAAGTTCAAATGCTGAAGATTTAGATGTCGATGTATTTAAAACATCAGAAATAGACAAGAGCCAGAAAATGTCTGATGAAAATTCGTTTAAAAACCGAAGATCTTTAGAAAGTCTTCTAATGCACGATACGATTAGACTATGCAGTGCTGGAAATTGTTCAGATGCTGAAGAACATAGTGATACAGCGCAAGGTTTTCTGGAATATTACAATAGAACTACCTTGCAATGGGTTCCTATGTGCGATGACAGATTTACCGAAAGGAATGCTCAAGTAGTATGCAGAGAGCTTGGTTTTGACCCAATAAACGTGTTTTACCAGCGAGACAGACGAATAGAGTACCATTCAAATTCACTTAGTAGAATTTGGTCTTGGCCGGAGCCTTTGCAATGTAAAGGTATGATCTCGTTTGAATAAAATATTCATAATTTAGCTATAAAAAATAATCACTTAATGCGATTGAATTAGTCGTTGGCAAAGCATTATTACTCTGCAAGGCAGAAAAAACTATTTCACTTGAATTGTATTGCATTAAAAGAACACTAATAAATTATATTCATACTGCATTTACGAGAATAGATTTATGGTGGAAAATAAATTTGATATTATTAATTTTAATTGTTTTTCATATAATTAGGAACTGAGGCGCGATATGATGATTGTCCCATTCGTCTCAACGGGCAGCTGTATGGTCATCTTCATACTTGTTCTTGGGATTCAGAATTTGTTTTCATCAGTTGTGGAAGAAGAAATCTGGAGCTGCCTTCTGATTATTGGGGTGGTATTAGATTTGCCCATCCAGAATTTGAACATCGATTGTATGAACACAGAGTTCATGATGTGAGAACTCATGGCGTCGTTAGAGCAGCAGAAAGCGTTATGGAATTCGTTAAAATTATAGGTAAGTTGTAGATGGTAGTCATTCTTGCAAATGACTAGTTTTTCATAATAAAATTAAACATTTTACTCATACCATCGCTTTACATTTGTATGCATGATTGCATATGCAAAGTGATTTACTTAGTGATAAGTATGAAACCAATCTTTATGTGGTCTGTAAAAATTACTTGTTTTGAATAAATTTATTTCATAAGATTTTTTACATGAAGATGAATATTTTTGTAAACATTTTTTTTTATAAATTCTTTTCTGGTGAACTTATTTTTGTTTTAAAGATCTCAAATTGTTTACATTGGGAGGCATCCATTAATCTCGTGAGCTTTCAAAGGGGGGGAAGGAGATCTGATAAAAAATTACGGAAGATCTCATGTGGGAGAGGATCTAGTAGGATATCACTTTACCTCAGTTTAATTTTTATCTCAGTTTGAAAAAAATCCAATTTTTTCAAAAAAAGGAATTATTTTTTTACGATTCTTTAGGTACTAAAAAGACAAGTGATGTTAGGTGGGGGGTAATTTTATATATCACCACAAATAACAAAATAGGAGGGGTGGTCCAAAAATCCTTAAAGTTCATAAATCGCTCACGTGATTAATGGACGCCCCCTTTGGCCTAACCGGAAGAAATTGGATTTGAAAAGAATTGTACATTTTTGGATTAGAAACATTAAACATAAGGAAAAATTATTTATTACTTATGTTACTGAATTTTAAGTTTGATAACTCAAATGATTGAATTTCTTTTAACTAGCAAAAAGTACAATATCCACCTAAATTTTTCGATTTTCGTGGATTGCGTTAAATTGTCTATTTATATATACAGGTGCAGGAGTATTACACAATGAGAAAAGTCCAGCAGTTCAATCGATTGTGAGAAGTCCAGCACTTGGTTTTGTCGATATTCAGAAAAGTGCACATCATGGTCTTAATTTAGTATCACCAAGTGCATCTATGGATGTTCGATTTTTAAATGTTGACGAAACTCTTGGTAAGTATTAGAAAATGTTTATTGACATTAAAATTATATATTTGATAATAATCGGGTGTATTATTATTATAAAATATGATTTTATTAAATAGTCATTTCAAAATTAATACGTTTCGGCCGGCATAGTCCTAGCCTTCATTCAGTGGGAAATTTGTTCATCCTAATATTCAAAATAGAATTAACAATAATCTATAGTATGAGGATATGGCATGAAACTACACTATGTTATAAAAACATCAAAATTGTTGTATTTATTGGAAAATAATTTACAAAATAAATAAGAGAACCATTTTTTTGCATGAAATTTTCTATTTAAAACTAAAAGTTCTTATTACCTTAAGTTCTGAGAATTAAATAATGAAGCACTAACAATGAATAACTGCCTGTTCTTATATATTGCACAAATATTATTTAAAGGATTTTATAAATTTTAGTTATTCATCAGTTAATATTATTAACGTATATTTGCTTTCTACAGAAATTAGAGTTTAAACTGTTTATTAATTAAAATAAATATATGAGTAATTACATTACCAAAAGAAATGAGCAGTGTACGAGTGATAATTAGACTAATTGGTAATTTCCTATAGCTTTTATTACTTTTAAGTTATTTTATGGTCTTTTCATAGTTTTGCAATTATATAACAATTGTTGGCACTAATTAATGTAAACTTGTTAATACTTATAAATTTCTATACCTAGCAGTAAGAAGTAAAGCGTACTTTATAATAAACCTCTATTTCTTAATAGGTCATTCTTTCCAAAAAATTATATTTGTGTCATCGTTTATGGTGTAAAACTAATTTAACAAACCTATAACAATATTAATTTCAAGTTTAAAAAATATTATTACCAAAAGCATTACTGGGAGGTACGTAAATACAATTGATATCAATCGATATTGAGATCACTATCGATAGTGAGTATTAATATAGCAAATCAAAATATTATCTTCATATTTCAATTTTTAACAGAATATACATTTTTATGTTTTCCGCTTGAATTTTTTGAGTAAAACTTCTTTAGGCGCGACTAGGGTGTAAATCCGTACTTATGCAACGGAAGTGCGTTACGGCACTCGATGAAATCATTTCTATACGGGTCGTTTGTGATTAGATGTTGTGTACGTGAATAGACTGTTGTTGTATGCGTACCGGCATCAACGTTGTATGCGTTCCGATGTCAACAAAAAAATTGGCATAGCTAAATAAGCATTTTAAAGTTACATCGTAGTACAAATCTTGATTTAATGAAAAATGCCTGAATCAGAATAATATTTTACCCTGTTTCTTGAAAATAATAAATCATATTAAACATTTGTTTCATGAACGAAACGTAAGTTTATTGATTAGAAATTATTTCTATATTATTCGTAGTTTCTATAAATCTTTGAAATTATTAAAATGAAAAATATTTTTAGGCAAGAGAGATATTACAGCTGTTCAAAGAATGAGATTATATCGCCAACGAAAAAGTAAAAAAAATACAGCAGTCAATGAATTTATGATAGTCTTAATTACATGAAGTTCTTTAAACACAATTACATGATGAGTTAAGTTGCAAAAGCAATATTTGTTTAGGCGTTGTTTAACATAATCCACTGTATGAACGAATATTATAGAATTTATTAATCAGCAATTACTTCATTAATGTAGATTCATTTCTAAATGCTAATTTCAATGACCAACCGATCATGTCATATTTGAAAATGACTTTAATTACATTATTGTTTTTAAATATTATACATATTTGTAATGCTATTATAAATATATAATTTATAATTTATCATTATATAAATGTGTATAATGGTTGACATTAATAAATGTGTGCATCATGAGTTTTACCATATTACTAATAAACATTGTTCAAAATTGTTATATGATGTATTTATTTTATATGAATATTTATTTATTAATTAAATTTTACTATTTTTTACAGGCGATGGAATCAATGTGGTTTCCCTGACTGGCGAAGGTCGAGAAAGTGACGAATCATCATTCACACCTTTGAAAGATCTGAATCTTCCGTATTCTCTGTTCTCTCTAATAGACATATGTGATACATCCAAAGAAATCATAGTTGAAGAGCGTGTTCTCTTATATTATAAATACGACAACTCTCCAGTGAATGCGTAAAAATCTTTAGAAGTGCCTATGGAATCAAACCCTTTGGATTTAGGTTGCTCCAATTTAATCTATTCAATCGAACCACTGCTCAAGAATATGGACAACCTGATGAAATTACTTTGTACGATGGTGATGTTTATAATGTGTCAGCACCTATATTAGGAAAAATCCAAGCAAATGCTAAAGGTGCAGAGAGAAAGTTTTATAAAAGCACATGGCAAGGATTGAGTGTCAGGTTGTTTGCGAGCGGAGCCAGTGGGACATATGGTTTTATAGCAGAAATTATTACTTTGCCGATTTCAGCAATTGGATTTAGTGAGTATTACTCAATTATTATAATAATTCTAGTTTATACTTAGAGAGTTTCTTTATACTTATTGTACTGTAATAATATATTCGAGAAATTTTAAATATTTTTAAAAAAAATGAAGTAAAACTTCTTTAGGCGCGACTAGGGTGTAAATCCGTACGAATGCAACGGAAGTGCCTTACGGCAAGGTCGAGTGCCAATGATTCGTCATTCGCTCTCAATGATATCATTTCTATACGGGTCGTTTTTGATTGGTCGTCCTATTTGTGCGGGGCTTCTTTGTATGCGTGACTTTATACGTGCGTACGTCACCGAAAGCGTGAAGCATATTGTTCATTTTTGGTGTTTTATATCATTACATTTTAAGGTTAAATATCAGTACAAATCTTGGGTCGATTGTGCAAATAATAAAGCAAATGAAAAATCTGTGCCGTGTAAGAAACGTAAGTTTATTTTTGAGGTTATTAAAATGGAAGTTATTTTTATATGCAAGATAGATACTACAACTGTTCAAAGAACAGTGTCATTCTTTGAACAATTGTCATATCGCCAGAATTTATTAATCAGCAATTTCTTTATTTTTCTAATAAAGGTTCAAGTCCTAGATGCTAATTCCAATGACAAACCGATCATGTCGTATTTGAAGTATGACTTTAATTGCATTATTATATTCAAATATCATAAATATTTTCAATGCTATTATAAATTTATAATTTATTATTATATAAATATGTATAATGGTTGACAATAAAAAATGTTTGCATCACGAGTGTTACCATATTACTGATGAACATTATTCAAAATTGTTATATGATGTATTTATTTTTAACTTAAATGCCATCTCGTACTATAGCAAAAGAGTTTTACTTCAGTCGCAGGTGAACCTTACGCGCACTCTTTTTTTGTCTTTTCCAATAACCAATCTTTTCTTCACACTCTCACACAAGCAAAATGTTTCTTGAATTAGATGATTCATTCTCTTATTAACTGCTATTTTTGCACTTTTTGCTCCGTACCTCCAAAACGGCTGGAACAGCATTTGCACAAAACTAATCAGAACTACTTCCCGTCAGTACGAACCAAATATTTTTTGAATTATTCTAATCGGATGCCCGGTTCTCGCAAACACCGAGTTTCCATTTTCTGCACTTTTTGTTCCGGATCTTTGAAAAGGCTGGACCTATCTGGAATATTTGTTGAATCATTTAAAAGTGGGTTGATCCGTGCTCCCGAAAACGTGAACAAAAAATTGTATCCACACATCCATATGCACACATCCATTTTTTTAAAAGTATGCTAAAATGTTCAGAAACCTCTAAGTGTAAAGATCTGCAAAAATTTTTATTTTCAATTACTATAAGTTACCCTATTAGGTTTAGGTAGAATTTTGCCTTTAGGCAAGTTGCAAAAACTTCTATATATGTAAATAATCGACCTAATGAGATTTAGCTATTTAGATAAAATTTTCAGCTATTTATTTCTAAAAAAAATTCTTTTTTAATGCGATCAATGCAATCAATGCAATTTTGTACTTATTGCTACGTTATTTATTAAACTGAATTATATAATTTCATCTGCCATTTGCCTCTTATAATATTTTAATTTCTGGCATGTCTCAGCTGCTCTTCGGCAATAATAATGTAGTAAGAAGTTTCGATGCACAATGAAAAACGATCGTATATACTATAAAATTGACTTATAGTAGTAGTTATTCGTTATATTCTAACAAAATTTGTGATTTCCAGATCGCGATGCACAGCACAACCTGACGTATTCCACACTATCAAACTGTTTGACTGGTGCGTTGTCTTACTCGACCGTCGGCGAGGTGTCGCCCACGCTTAGCCTGGATAAAAACCAAATCCTGGACAACTGCGTTCAACTTTATGGAAACTTCTCAACCTGCAAGGCGGCTATGAAGATCGATGTCCAAAATATGCAGAACATGTATTTCAGGGTAAATATTTATTAAGATTTTTATATAGTCAGGAGGGCAGCTGAATACCCATCCAGTTGTTATATATAACTTTGTTTAAATATAACAACAACAAGTATATCGAAACCACTTTGGAATGCCTCACATATTTTAATATGTTGATTTTTCATTATCTTATAATATTTGTTACTCCTATCATAAAAGTAAGAAGTAAAATTTTAAGAATAAAAGGAGGTTTTTGAAAAAATAAAATTCACCAATGATACCAAAGACTAATAACACTGATTTTGAGACGGAGATTAGTGTAACCTGGCTCTGGTAGTGTTCTGGCAAGTATCAAGTGAGTTTGTGTAGTCTTCAAAGCGGCTTTTGTACTATTGTGATGAATTTGTATCATTTACATTGCTGAAGACGACGTTTTTTGGATCAACCAATTTGGAACATGCTTTGGGGCATTTTATTAATTAAATATTTTTTCAATCTCTGTCAGTCTGTCAATTTATTTTGACCTATTTGAATTTTTAATATATTAGATTTGAAATCTGATGCTCCTAGTTGTATACCGTATGTCCAAATTGGTTAAATTGAAAGGAAATATTACTCGTCATGCCACAACATTTTGAGCGCCTTCGATCAATAGGTTTTATATAATTTATTTAGGAAAATAATCAATTTGTATTATGTGGAACCATTAAAGATCTTTTATGGGAAAAAATCAACAAGTAATAAATTTATGATTTTTGTGCTTCTGACTTTCTTGTTTTTTATAACATATCACAAGATTGCAACTATAAGTCTTGTTATTATAGTTTTTTCGTGATTTAGGAAAACATTATATTAGGTTGTCAAATATCTCCCTTCCGCTTTTTTGCTCTTGGTTTATAATACAAAAAGGCAGAGATATTTGACAACCTAATACATTACAGTCGAAATTTAATTGATTGTCGAATTTGTCTAAATTTCTAGCTCCTCGATAATCAAGTTTTAATCCAACACATTTGTGTAAAAAATGACATAAACAGACAATACTTTACTATGTATATGATACTTATCATCAATATTGATATAGTATTTATTAAACTCTATGTGTATGCGTACTTTATAGCAGGTATTATACGAACTTTGTAGATATTTACAAAGTGATTTTTCGGGTAGTTACCAATTTTCTAGATAATAATCACTATTTATATCGTTGGTACAATGATTATTCAATTCATTATTCACAAGGAAAACTTTTTTGTGCGCTACTTTAAGCACATCGAACATCAAGAGATGATATAACCACTTTTTTATATCGTCGTAAATTAAATCGATCGCTTTTCCAAACAACGGAATAGAAGTAACTTATGAAATATTTATTTAGTCCCTTGATTCTCTTGAAGATTCCGATTTCGAAGGGTTCATAATGGAAATAGATTGTTCTCAGACCTCTTCACAAATATTGAATGATAACGAAATACATCTGCTAAATTGTGAAGACATATAGGCTATTAATTAAGAATAAGGAGTTTTTTTTGTAGAAATTACTTAAGTACAAATATTGATTTTGCACAACTTCTTAACTATTTTCAATTTCATATTGAATAAGTAAAATTACGCACCAATAAACAGAATATTATAGAACTTATCAATGGATCAATCAAATTCTCAAGATCTTCACAGATTTTTTAAATATTTAATATTAAAACGAGTTATAATAATAGTGTAATAATGCACAAAGTGCACACTGATTAAGAATAATATTTAATGATTTTTGATAACTTCATTGATATTCCTTTTATAAAGTAATTTATTTTACCTTCTTACTTTATAAACATTTTACGTTTTGAATTTTCTCTTCCAAGTTTTCATGTCTGATATCTTGAATAAATTCTATTTTTCCCCTTAAGTCATCTTTCTTATATATTCTCTTCGTCCAGTACTTTTTATAATAATGATGCAATTTAATATTCTCTTTATCTCAAAACATGTTCATCATAGTCTTAGCTGCTTCTCTTCCCGCATTTTTTTTATTTGATACAATTGAACCAGAAAATTACTGGAAGTCTTGCAAATATTCAAGATAATTTAAAAATGTAATCATTACTTACATAACTATTGTTACAGTACTATTGTACATTTTATGTGATTTTGTGTTTTGTTTCTTGCATCGAGTTTATGCTTTGGGATAATAATCAAACACTTCAAATACATATACAAAATTTTATTGATAACAATTAAAATGTTCAAATAATAGTAATAATATAGAACAGCTAATATATCGCGACAGAAAAAAATATTATGTGGTTTCTCACTCAAATGTCATAAAGTAACATACAAAATACTTACTACAAAGTTAATACAGATAAAATAAAATAAAACAAAATTTATTATCGTCGAAATAGCCCTAATAAATGCAAAGTAGAAATGTAAAAAATGTTTGAAGTTTATTTGGAAAAATAATTTGAAAATCATTCCAAATAAAGTTTAAATCTTTTTTACGTTACAGCCCTTATCGAGACAACGAATGGCTTTTAAATTTTTGAAATCACTTTTGAGAAAACGTCGATTTACGGCATAAAATTTGTTCACAGAGAAAACATAAAATTAGCAAATCGGATTTTTTGATGAAAACATAAACTTCTCCTTCGAGAAGTTAAAAATTCTTTGAAAATCAGGATTATAGGATGGTGTAATACTTGTTAGTTTCGTACTAAAAGAAAACAGTAAAAAATAAAAACCTCAATTTTTGTAAGCCCATTAAAATTAAGAAACGTATTAAGTCCTTGTACAAATAAAAAATATTTTAAATGGGTAAAGTAGGTTAATCAAAGTCGGGCTACTTGTGGTTTTTATTTTTATACTGTTTTTTTAGTACGAAACAAACATATATATTGCTATTTTACAATCATCATGACCAAATACGCATTTCTTGCAAAGTCTATAAATTTTGAAAGTTTTTAATTTTGCTTTTAGTTTAACAAGTTGTTGGAAATTGTGCAATTTTTTTTTATTGTGGATCTAGAAATATTAATTAGGCCGACATTTCCAAAGTGTGGTAAAATAAAAATAAAGATATTTAACCACTACCTTCAAAAATCGCTACAGCTTGATTACATTTTTGGATGATTTTTTTCATAATGGTTGCATTTAATCCTGCATAATCGCTACGGCTTGATGATGAATTATTGGCGCTTTGCACGAAGGCAGGTTCATTGTGCTCTTATTATTATACTCACTTTTCCAAAATTCTGCTATTTTATAATATCGCGAAAGTTATCAATTATCTGTTTTCTTCTTCTTCCTAGACTTGTCAAACCTTTTATTTTACCTCTGAAGACTACGTGCATCAAGCACTCTTTTTGCAATACAGCTCCGATCCAGTTTCCTTCTTTTTGCATGATCAAAAAAATTCTTTCTACCACGCTCCTCAGCACTTCTTTATTTGTTATCTTCTAATAATAATAATACTAAATGGATGTCTGCCTGAAGGCAGGTCCATGGTGTAAGAGCCATCACAAACAAATAATTCCTTGGACTCATGGCGTCTGTCATTCCCATTACCACTATTTCTCCGCCTCCTTCACACTTTTTTCGTGTATTTTTTCTCTTTCAATGCCCTGTATTGAAATTTCTCTTCTCCGTAAGTCGTCAATCATCTGCATTCTTCTTCTTTCCATTCCTTTCAGTCCTTCTCTTTTACCCTCGACGACGCCGTACAAGAGGCACTTTTTTGCAGAACGGGTCCGAACCAGTTTCCTTTTCTTTACAGGATTGTGCTCAGTAGAGTCCTTTCTTCGTCCGCTCTTCTGGGGACTTCTTTGTTATTTTATCTGTCCACTTTATCTTCTCCATAACAAAATTAATTACCTGTGTGATTGATTTTACACTAACACTTTTTCACTAAAAAAGATTTTATCAAAAAAAGTTGATTTTATAAATTTCTTTTCAGACGAAGAAACAAATTTTGTAATTCAAATTGAAATTTAAATTAATTTCAATCAAACTCTAATTAAATCCATCAAACTTAAATTAATTTCAATTATCAAACTCAAAAAAGACATAATATAAAGAAATTTTGTTAGTGTAAAATCAATCATACAGGTAATTAATTCTGTTTTTTTAATAACCTTCTTAAAACTTTTTAATTTTTTTACGTTTTGTTATATAATCCACTCATTTATTTTTATCATATTCTTTTTGATTATTTTGTCATATTTCTGTACATTATTTTTTTCACATTTTTATTCATTTTATATATAAAAAATCCATCTTCTTTTCTTAAACATATTGTTTAAATCTTATCAAGATCATGTTTCTTGACAGATGTCCTGACGATGGAACGTACCTAGTTCCGATACGTCGACAGTAAAGAAATAGAGAAATGTTTTTTTAAAAAACTTTTTTTTATTACTCTTGGATTCTTTGTTCGAAGCTCTACAAAATATATATAATAAAATATAATTATTTCAAGCGTAAGAACATGAGAATGTACGAATTGAATTTATCTTTACCAATAATTCTTCAACTAATATTTCTGTGGTAAACATTTCTGTATATTATTGTTTCCCGTACTTAAAGTACGAGAAAAAATTGAACATAAACTTGAAATACTACTAAATAATATTTCTGTTCGAGAAATACGTTTGGCTTGGTGCCGAATCTTGACCCCGCTAAGTTCGTGCTATTTATATCACTGTGATAAAAAGTGAACTAATAAAAGTTTGGCAATCGGACCCGTAAATATTTATACAATATACGTTGTTTATTTTCAGAATAACTTAGTACGTGGAAATCAAGGAGGTCTATGGTTGCGGGCGGACTCCCGCGGTTCCGCCACTTCTCTACGCGGTTGGCTTCATAACAATCTATTCACGGAGAATTATAATCTGCCAGCTCTATACATTGAAGGTCGGTTATTAAATATCTTTTATATTAGTCTTTTACAGCAACACTCTGTTTATTTTAGAGGATATCAAAAGCTTGTCTAAAACATGATTTTATTTTATGATTTAAATAAGATATATGATGAAGTAAGGAGAATTTTCAAATACATATCTCTGATAATAATGAATGCAGAGTGCATTTCTATTTTTGGTTTAACGTGTTTTCAATTTAGAACACTGCAGTAATAATTTTGAAGTGGTACATATATAGGTTTCAAAATTAACATCAAATATACATTATATTTTTCGTTGTAAAAAAAGATCTCTTACGATGTTGAGGTTTGTCATTGAAAAAAAACTACTCATTTTCTCAAACTTTGATGAATTTTTTAAATCAATCTACTTGTCGTAAGGCCATAATATTTCAGTAAGATCTGTAAAACTATGATATATATCGCTACAAAAAGTTCCATAAAAATCAGCTTAATTTAATTACTGTTAATTACAAGAGAACGGCTCGGTAGCTTTTTACCTAAAACTAACCAATATCATTCCTAATTAATATAAGTATAATATAATATAAAGGTTGTCAAATATCTCCCTTCCGCATTTTTGTATTATAAACCAAGAGCAAAAAAGCGGAAGAGAGATATCTTTCGAACAGTTTTTAATTTTTTAAAATCGATTCAGTGTTACATACTTAAATGTGGACTTTTTCCTAAATTACAAAGAAACGGCTCCGCATCGAGATACATCAAATGGCTTTTAAATTTCTGATATCAGTTTAGGCGTTTTTGAGCAAAGATCGATGAAAGTTCTAATTTTGACAAACGCCAAAAAAACAATACTAATTTTTGCAAACTTTGACGAATTGAAAAGCCTTGTCGTAGGGCCGTAATATTTTAGGATGATCTAGAAGAGCATGATATCTATTACCAAAAATAATTCATTAAAAATGCCAAAACAAAACTAGTCAGGTCGATTCCCAACCAATATCTTTCGAACGGTTTTTTGAATTTTCAAAATCGACTTCGAATTGTGGGCTAAAACGCGAACAAAAAACTTTTCACTTTTCTGATATTTACGAAGAAACGGTTAGGCCGATCGTCGCACAAAATTGATAAACAATAGTTTTCATCGAGATACATCGAATGGCTTTTTGATTTTTGAAATCGGTCTATCCCTTTTTGAGAAAACGTCGATTTACGGCAAAAAATCTGTTCACGCACAGGCACACACAAATTTTTACTTCTTCCAAATTTGGACTCCTTTGATTCAGAATGACTTGAAACGTCGAAAAAACATAAAATTAGCGAATCGGATTTTTTGACTAAAACAAACTTCTCCTTCGGGAAGTTAATAATATAACATTTTACTATGAAATAATAATAATACTATGGAATCTATTGTTGTACAATGTTTAATCAAAATCGTCAAAAAATTTCAACATTTATGAATAAACGGTTCGGCCAATCTTTACCAAAAATTAATCAACGCTATTCCAAACTAATATATCTCAAATAGTTTTAAAATTTCTAAAATCTATTTAAAATTGTGTGCTAAAACGTGGATGAAAAATTTTACTTTTTTACTAATCACAAAGAAACGACTAGAAACTTACTACCCTTATCAGAAACATCGAATGGCTTCCAAATTTTTGAAATCGATCTAGTCGTCATCATCTACATACTCATTCCATTCAGAATGACTAAAAACGCCAAGAAAACATAAAATTAGTAAATTGTTTTTTTTTTTGCAAAAACATTTCTTCTTTGGGAAGAAAGTTAATAATTTTTGAAATGTGATTTATTGAGTCCTGCTTATTTAATTTTGATAAATTTGAATAAATAGCTTTTCAATAATGGAACTGCTTTTTGCAACTGTTTACTTTCACACTCAATTCGAGAACCAAGAAAAACATAGCACAAGCAGCCTACAGCCTTCTTTAAATATACATATAGTTACATATTGTAACGCCTATATCTCTCACAATATAACCTACATTATGCAAAATACAATAAGAAATAAATATCCATCGATAATAACGATTTTTTTTTTACAGTTTGTCAGTGAATCAACTGATAAAATACGCAATGTAAATATTTAAAAAAATCATTAATTTTATTTTATAAATATTATTATTCTTTTATTTTTAAATTTATAATTTTTTTTTAATTCTAGGTCGTCAATCATCACCATACCAAGAAGTCACTATATACAAAAACTATTTTTCAAGAAATGTCTTGCAATATCATGATGTTATAGTTTTGAAGCAAGTTGTTTCAAATTTTTCTTACAACTACGTTAATAGCAACAGTGGGGCTAGAATAATGGAAATTTCAGGATTTGAAAAAGTTCGACTACCAATTTATCAGACTACAATGCATAACGGTTTTATAAGTAAGTATTATTAGAATATGTATGGAAAAAAGGGCTGCCGTTGAAACTTTGTTTTTTTTATTAGTTATTATTCGATCAAAAGTTTGTAACTTTATGCATTCTATTTTCTAATAAGTCCAATTAAATATACATCTAAACAAAAATCTAAGTTAGAAGTCTAGACAATTATAATTTATTTTATATTCTATGGTCGAGGAGAGTAAAGTTGGATTAATGGATATATCAAAATTGCCTGATTTATTAAAAAAATTTAACTGATATAAAATATTTACAAAAGTGCAAATAAAAAGGCTTCATAATAATAAGAAATATCTATATCAAATAATACGTTCAGGTTCAATTTAAAAATTCTAGAAACCGAAGAATTCAAGTTCCTAAAGAATCCAATATAAAATTTTTAAAGCAAAATTAAAGTTTAAAAAAAATAATTGATATAAGCTTCAAAGATAAATTTCGAAAGTTAAATAAAAATAGTCAAGCATGTATATAAATGCTTCGTTTTTTTTTTTTTTTAAATTAATGTTTGAAAATGTATGGTATCTAGAAATTCAGACAATTTTCAAAGTAACCAGTTTTTGCTGCATTGCTTACAGAAACATACTTTCTATAAATAAATAAAATAAACTAAATATAGTTTGAAACTCACAAGAAATATTAGGATTATAAAACTATAAAATTTGCTCTGTTTTTAGTACATTTTCATATGTAACACTTGAGCGCCTGCACAAGTATATTTAAAAACCAATAGACCTTACGCATTAAAAATAGGGGGGACTGTATATGGTTGTGCTACTTTTTTCATTAGCAATAATTTTTGTGAATATAAAAATTTGTCTACCTAACGCACACTTTTCAAAACAAATCATCATTATGACTGTTCTAAACAAACATACAAGTCATCTACGCAAAAACTAATTGTTGGTAATTAACACTAATGCACTAACTCAACTTACAATATAATCTACATACAAGTAACAATTGTTATTAAAAGAAATTAAATAAAAAATTACATTTCACTCTAATTCTTTAAAAGCAATGCGGTCTACAGATCATGTTAATTTAGTTAATGCAATAATGGAAACTTGTTAGAACAAACATATTTCATCTTTTACCCTTTGGGCTTTATTTAAAAACTAGTATAACTCAGATATTATCCTATTAAAATATTTTAATTGTCCTCTAAATTGATTCAGACGTTTTTTTTCAAAATTTACAGATATTATCACATACACAAACATGCATACATGCACACATTATTTTTTCCAATTGTGTCAAAGTGATCAGATGATTATGCAACTTGAATTAATTATCAAAATAATGTCATTTTAGATTTGTTTGCGATCTCTGCGACTTATCTAACGGGAAGTTAATACATTATTAATAATAGTGCTTGAAGTTTGTGAAATACAAACGTTATGCATTAAAAGCATATAAATTATAAATGAATAAAATGTTTCCGCGTTGTATAAATAAATAGTTTTTTTTTTTAATTTTGTCGTCTATTACAGTAACTACGCCGTAGACCCGTTGGGAAGAGCTACGATCGTAGCAGGCACTGCCGGGCAGCAGTATGTGGATAACATCTTTTTCAACCCGGACAATGATTATGAAATGATTACTGTCAACAGATCTATGTGAGTATAAAATTATATTTAGTTTTATAGAATTCTTTATAATCGTCAAATTAGTCTTTCTATAATATATTCTATGATATAGTTACAATTAACAAATATATCCTAATTTTACACTTTCAGTAAGTAATTATAAAGTAAATTGTAACATCTTTACAATTTATTATTAATGAAGTTGATGTATTGGGATATATATTTCATGAATGAAAGTTATCTTTAATTTTCAGAAACTAAATTATTTTCTTATTTTCATTATAAACTCCATCTTTAAAATGTAAAAATTACTAGACAGTCAGAAATGATTATAATCGATAGAAGGAGGGCAAAAAGTTCAAATACATAAGTATTTGCAATTTTTGAGTATGATTTAGAATAATTTTTAGATCGAGAAAAATCAGCAAATCGCATTTTCTAGCAAAACTTTGAACTTTTCTTCCAAAAATTCGTAGATTATAAATGTTTTTTAATTTTTCATAGCAAA